ACGACGATATATTTAAAAAAGCAGATATAGTAGATATTTTTCAAGTAAATGCTGATAGAAAAAAGATAAAAAGCTGCGGTTTTGTCGCAAATTTTTTGAAGAATGTTTTAAAACTCAGTTCACTATCTAAAAACTTGAAATACAAATATGTTTGACTTTTCATATGAAAAGCTAGTCTCTATACAATTATACACACTTGAACTCTCCATCTCTCACAGTCTAGAGCTGACAAAGGATCTCATTTGTTTGGCAGCTAAGAAGTTCCAAAATATTCAATTTTGAGCTGTCTGCATAGAATCTTAGAAATACTGTTGACATCCACACTGGTATTCAAATTCGAAAAGTTGACACAATTATTGGTTTCTTGAAGGTTTTTCAGAGAACTTCGAAACAGAGAAATGCTATTTTCCTTTTTTGAACAGCAAAAATCATCTCAAGCAAAGAAAATTGAATGTACCCTGAAATATTTTCAAGTTATTTCAATGACTTTTGAGTGATGGATAAGATTTTATGATGTAGATAGCCCTAAATGTTCATTGTTCATTCTCAAAGCTACAGAAATAAGACAAAATTGATTTAGGGCTTTTCTTGTAAATTCTGTAACTTTGCAAAGAAAGGTCGTGGAAAGCTGAGAAGCGTTTCATTTTGATGCAAAAATTTCAGGCTACAATCCCAACATGTTGATAAAATATTGCTATGGTTTCAGGGGATTTTTAGAAAACCGGTTCTCCAGAGAAACGCTAGGCTACGCAAACGGCTATCATATTCGTAATCAGCGCCCATGATTACATATAAATTGCCAGGTTCGAATAAAATCGGAGTGCCTCACTTGGGACTGTTCCCTTGTGAGATAAAAGAAAGAAACTATGACTAAAATATCCACTTCAGGAGATTTTGAATATGAGTAACAATGAAGATGACAACTATACGAACAAATATTACTCTATGTACAACCATTTCTAAATACGATTAAAAAGAACGGATATTTTAAAACAGTTCACAGTAATTTCACTATACTAGCTATTTTGTTCACAAAGTCGGCAAAATTTGTACTTGAAACAATGAAATTAAGAGTTTATCTTGTGGTTTGTCTTTTGGCATGAAAATGGCAAATAATCAGTAAGGATGGCATGATGCTATACAATATACTTCGTGCGATTTTTTCATAAGAAATTAAATTATTAATATAAATTAGAGATATTAAAACGCATATAACAGACATAAGAAAGACTAGGCTAGTTTTAAGTCGCTCCTTACTCTTCCTCATTTCCTTTCACGAAATAGCATTCTGTTTTTGATCATATTGAAAGTTTCTGACGACCTTTACCATGATTTTTGAGTAATCCTAAAAACTGATTTTTCAATAGATTACTTTGTTCCATATCTATGCATTGAAAAAAAGGAAGATTCTATGGATCCTACGTTGAAGAGCACGTATCTGTGATAGATTATATTTTCCTTAGAAAGCATAGAACAATTATTGTCATTTTGTATCTTATTTGCACAAAAAACCTACGAAAAAATAAAAACATTAACTATTACTATCATCTTTACATTTTTAGGTACGATTTATTGATTGAATTATTTTCCAACAGTTATCATTCTCAAATGACCTACATACATAAAATGAAAATACGTAGTGAGCGTAAAAAATCTGAAGTAAATGACAAACAATCACAGAAAAGTCAACAAACAGCGTATAGTGAAACAATTGCCGATGAAATGAATAATGATAATGAATCGAATTTTACTGTTAAACCGAAAATGACGTATGCATTTTGACCATAAATAATTACAAAAATCGACTACTACTACTCCATTTTCTTGTATTTTTAGTATTGATGATTTACTACAAGACTCTGATTCGGACTTTGATGATGATAATGAAAATACAAAATCGATGCGTTCAACAGCAACAAAAGCATCACGACGTCATAAACAATCATCTTTATGGATTAAAGAAACAAATGAGGAACCACTTGATTTGAATGAACCAAGTGCAGCACGACAAATATATGGTTTGTATTTTCTTCTCTTTATCAACTTATATTTCACTAACATTTTGTTTTTTCACTTACATTTCAGCAACAAAGCCATTAACAAAGAAAGAACAAGCATCAGTAAAAAAAGATAAACGGGATACTTTTCGTACAGCACCAGATGGAAGAATTATTATCATTGATGATGAGCAGGATAAAAAATCAAAAAATAAGAATGATGATGAAGACGAAGAAGAGAAAAACGATGATATCAAAGACTTGATGGAAACACTTTCACTTAGTCAACGATTAAAAAGCAAGAAACGAAAACGTGGACTAGATGATGATGATTATTTGGATGATAATAAAGAAGATACAAAATCAAAACAATCACAATCAAGATATAAAGGTTTGTATTTATATTGTAAAATGGTAAGATAAATGGTAAAATTCATTTTATTTTTAAGCTGGTGGTAGTGGTATTCATCGACCGCTGAATCGAAAAAAAATACCCGGTGAAAATTACAAAGCCAAGGTAAATAAAAGATTATGTACTGCATTAAATACTACAATGAACCACTGTGAATTACTATTGGAGATAAAATTCGATATATTTTATAATTTTTTAAGTGTAAAGATTTCATGGGATAGTTATTGTTGTAATCCTTGACAATTTTTAAAAAGAAAAATGTTTCACCAGTTTATATTGTTCTAACATCATCTAGAGGATCATTAGACAGACCAAAGTATTTGAAACTAATATAGCTATACGTGACAATACTATATACGATTGATTTCGAATCCTCGGCATTACTAATGATATTGTTCTCTTTATCTTATTCAGAAAGGTAGTGGTGATGTTAAACTGGCTAATAAACACGATCCATATGCCTATATCAAATTAGATTTTAATGCATTAAATAAAAGGTATGATATCTATATATTTTCCATCTATTTTTGTCTTGACATCCTTCATATTTTTCTCTCTCTCTATTCTAAAATAGGAAACGTTCACAATACAAAGGTCAATTTGAAAATATTGTTGGTGCAGGTAAAAGTTTAAAATATTTTGATTTTAAAGTTTTATATATTATAAATAACATTTTGTTTTTGTTTAGCTAAACGTGGTGCAAAACGTGGTACTAAATTAGGCAAAAAAGAACGAAAATTGAAACGTTTAAAATCGTAAAAAACGATATAGAATATTTATGCTATGCATTGTTATTGTTAAATTTTTTCGTTTTTAACGTTGTTCAAACCGTTTTCTAGTTCATATTTTTATTGTTTTGAATACTTTTATTATTATCATGTCAGAAAGAAACAGCAACGAGACAGTTGATTTTCATAATAAAAATGTGACTGATGCGGTAAAAACATTGCAGCAAGAAAAGTCATATAGTTATTTTAAAAAATAGTTGTGCATATTATTTTGACGCTCTACTGACGACGAACGATTATTCTATGCCTTATCAGTAACCACGCACTGTCATTATGATTCATGCGAGCGTACTAGTATCTTTTTTTGAAATCTGTTAAAAACTCGAGTGAAATAACATTTTTCAAAAATACACAAGCTGCCCGTTATTTAATCATCGAGCTGCAGTTTGAATCTCACTAAGTATGACATAACTGTCGTGTAGTATTTTTAGAGTTTTCTTTCGATGCACTGACGTTGCCATGCGATACGAGTTTATTAAATCATTATTAATGTTCGATTAATACTGATTTAGTTCTACTATCTTGTTCAAATTATAAGGGCCATGGTTGTTTTTGAATAACGCGAGAATACAAGAGGATAGAGCCTTGCATGTTTCAGCGATCGAAAGCCAAGAATCTTTTCATAAGTAGAATGAATTTCAAAATCCTTTTTACCTATAGTTTTTTGTGACGATCTCTAGAAAACTCGTTTACTCTTTTTCGATGGGGAAAACTATTTCGCCATGGAAAAAAGACAACCTATTCTCACTTTGGTATTTTTGAGTAGTAAACGAGTAAAGTATCTTCTTTGAAATAGCAGAATTTCGAATTTCCTGAGAATTCCAGGACTGGTATCTAGTGTTTACTATTGGTAGTCTGAAAATTAGATGGAACATAGGCAATCGATTACGCTGAACCTTCGGGCAATTTTGAAAAAAGTACAAAAACCTAGAAAAATTGACTTATAGCTCATTTTTATCAAGCACTAGAACAACCATTCATCAAACAATCATTCTCCATCAAACTTGATCACAATGACGGATCTTATAGTAGTCTACGTAAAGGTATTCTTTTATTCATCTATCGTAAATATTCATCTTGTTCTCTATAAACAAATGGATATGTTTGTTCAAATTTTTTAATTCGGTATGTGTACATGAGTCACAATTCAGTTTCTCATGAAAAAAAACATTTTTCAAATTATTAAGCCCGTCTGTTCGATAATTTGATATTTAAAATCAGCATTAAAATCTTCAACACGAAGCACAAAAAACAAACGAGATTATCTATTTCTGTATGGTTTCCATGCTCGTTTAACTAATAGAACTCCATTGATTGGCATTTAAGTACAACAAAATCCGTTGATAACTATTTGTTTTGAATAAAAATGTATACTAGTTGCGATAATGGCTGATCACGATTTCCTGTTACTGAGTTAAAAATCAGTAGAAATTGATTTTTTCACCATTTACTACATATATCAAAACATTTTTTGACAGAAAAAGCCTTGTTGATTCTAACCATACGTTTACTTTCAAATTTTCATCATGCCATTTTCACCAAAAATACCATCTTTGTAGTAGTTGTTCGCATGTTTTCGAACGATGACGAACTGATGTCTAATACTGATATTGTCATAGTCTATGGTTTTCTGTATCAATCTATTCCAAAAGTTTTCAGAGGTCACTATTCAGAGGAGTTATTGAGAAATATTTTTTTTGAATCGATAACGTATTTTGGATGTTTTAGTTGAAAATTTATTATTGACACAACCTTGTTAGGAAAAGTCCATAGTTTCAGGTTTTCATATTAACTGAGTGCCCAACAAAATAGTATATATGATATGGGCAACTTCAGCTCTCTTGGAGTTGGAGTCAATTCCATAGTGAGGTTTTTTGATACAGTTCAGTGTTTTGATTTGGATTAACTTCAACTTCACAACTCCGATATTTTGTTGCTTTTTTCGTTATATAATATCAAACTTCTTCGCTCTATAACGCGATATCAACATAAAATAAATAAATATCTTGTATTTTTCGCTTTATCGTTAGACAACAATAATTTATGAAATAACTTGCAAGCTCTTTATTTTATCCTTAAAATAAAATTAGTTGCTGATTTATTACAAACAATTCGTTATTCGTTAGTTCAGTTCGACGATAAAAATAGCTATCCGTATAAATATCCTCTGTGTGTGAGTATGAATTAATGATAATACCAATAAGAAATAGACTAAATATGCAAGATTGCCTCGTCAATTTTTTCCATCTATAAAGTACAGAAGAACAAAGACACATTTTCTTGTTTTCTGCAATAACTATTATTTAACTACTTCATATGCCCACCAAAGTTTGTTGGTGGGTATATGAAGTTTAGTTGAAAAGCATTCAATTATGTTCAACATAAATGGACGCATTATTTTGTTCAGAAAAGAAGTCGTTCAAATTTCTTTTGTAGCACGAATTCATCTCTCATTTTTCTGGAATATTTCAATAAAAAATATTTGTTCGTTCATAACCACTGCAATACTGACGCACATGCTGACAACAGTTTTTAATTACATAAAAAATAAGAATGACGAATAAGAGAAAAACAATATCACTTAGCACACACCAAACAAGTATGTACAGTAGTAAAGTATATATATGCACCAATTTTCTTCATCATCACAGGTTAGTGGTAGTAGTAGTAAAAAAAACAAACAACAACGATAATCTAATGATAACAAAAAAGAAACTTCCTAGATTTAATAATTGATATTACTTTACACCGGATAAAGATATATTTTCTATTTTGATGTGTATACTTCTAGTAATGAGGCAACGCTAACAACGCAATAGCCAACAGCCAATGATGAATATAAAACGATGGTACCAAATTTTACCCAAATACCAACAAAAAAAATACAATGCAACGTTTTTAAAATGAATACAATTGCTAGAGTAATATCAGCTAATGCAAACCAATCAATTGATTTTCTTTGATAATGTATTTTTTTGTCATTAATTGACTTTTTTGACTGATACTTCGTTGTTTCTACACTATATTTTGGTGTACGTTTAAATTCACCTTTTTTCCTTATTAAACCATCGATAACAGCAATTGTATTGTGAAGGCAAATAGCTTGAATTAATGATATAAATAGTAAGAAATGAAATAAAAATTTAACTAATTTCAAAAGAAAATGCTCATTATTATTATTTTTTTTGTCTAATTGACGGTGACTATTGTCATTTAATGTTAAACGTTTTGCTTCACTATTACCAATATATGATGTTATGAACATTAAAATGGCATTAATAATATTTGTTAAAATTAATATTGTTGGTTCAACACAAAGACTTTCGATCGCAACAAGTAGAAGTGTTTGTAATAAACAAGTTAAAAATAGTAGACTGGAAAATAGATGAAATGCAGCATGATAACGAACAAATAATGATAATTGTTTTGCACGTAAAACTTCACCAATTAATTTACGAGCCGTTTGAGCGGCACCTTTTGACCAACGATATTGCTGTGATTTAAAATCATTTATAGATATTGGTAATTCAGCTATAAGTAAAAATGCATAGAAAATGAGTATGAGACAATAAAAAGGAAATGGAACTATTTAAAAAGAACTTCTTCACTATCTTTTATACCGTTTAAAGCCGTCAATACTGAGCATACGGGTCATGTCTCCCTTTTGTGGGCCTCTCAATCTCGCTCACTAAGAAACTTTGTTTAAATAACCGTCTACTCAACAATTTTGAATTAGCATTTTGCTCCTAAGTATTAAAATCGACTTTTCTAAGCGTCAGAAATCATAAGCAATCATCATCTGAATCTCTATATTTGAAAATGCAATTTTCGCGCTGAATTTTTTTTTAGGGAAGGTTGTTAGTTTCAGGCGCTAATGGTATTTCGTGCCGGCATTCATATTCAGCTTGTTGGTATCTTGTCGAGACACTCTCTAGTTGATAATACTACACAAAAAAATGCCAAGCAGTAAGAACACTCGTATATGACACTTTCCGTTCAACCTATGAATTTTGCCGTAGTCAGTATCAGTTGTCCTCTAGTTTTCAAACCATTTTCTACGATCCGTTATCTTGTTTTAGTCTCACAACATTTAGTTTATATCATCCTTCCACTTCAGTCGGGAGGATAATCTTCTTCGACTCTAAATGTACTAAAATCAATTTCTCACAGAAAGTCTTTTACCTGGAGTGTCGACATCTTCGAGAAAAACAACTTTATAACCGTGTAATTGTGCACGATAACTCAAATCAAGGTCTTCTGTTATTGTATCGTCTTTCCAACCACCAGCATTTAAAATCGCCTCTTTTCGCCAAATTCCTTCAAAACAATCAAGTTTTTACTCCAGGCTCGTCCGTTATGCGATTCCAGTTACACATTCATACCTGCCGTGCCATTAAACTGTAAAAATACATCTGAATAATAACGTCCAGCTTGTTCA